CATCTGCCTGGATCTATTCCCTGCCTGGACTTAACCCCTTTGTTCTCCGTGAACCTGCCTGGACTTAACCCTTCCCTGCCTGGAGCTTCCTGTGTGGACTAACCCTGTGGATTACAATAACCCTGTGGTTCCATATTGCCTTCCAGAGAACTGTACTGTGTTGCTGTGTCTGGTGTAGATCTGTGGACTAAAAGAACTGTTGTATGTGCCCCAAAAACCTCCTCAATAAAAGCACGTTGGGTTCCGTGCAATCTGTCTCTGTGTGCTCTCTGGTTCTCTTGACAAACACCTATGGGGAATTCTGAAGAGACGAGTTGAGCATCACTCTCCATCGAGCATCCAGGCTTTAAAAGAGATAGATCTCGCAATATTTTTGGAAAAAGATAGATGTTGCAATATGTTCATTCCATGCCTAGAAGACTTAGTGCTGTCCTTACAAATCACGGAGGTCATACAAAATACAAGATGGACTAGTTTTTGTTGGGGGGTGTATTCATTTTTGCCTCAACTAATTTGAGTAAAACTGAAGATTTTGTAATCCAAGTTATATTATGAACCTTACTTTCATGTATTGAGCTGAAAAAATGTTCTATAAAACTCAGTTTTGTCAAAATTGTGGAAATCGTTCTTGTGTTCCTTGAGATATTGATAAAAATCTTACTTTTTGAAAAGGTTGTACTCATTTATGCTGAGCACATTACTAACTAATGCCCTAGCACTAGCTAATAAAAGGGGTAAGTAAGTTAAAAAATGCTGAAGTATTATCTTTTTAAATACCTGCAGATAAACAAGTTTAATGTCTTCATCCATTTCTAAATCCCAAATCAAGCTTCTCCTGCAGGTCACCACGACAGCTAAACAAATTATGGCCAGATCATGGAAGTCACCATCCCTATGCTTTTCTAGAAACAAAGTAACGCAAGCAATGATTCATGCCAAGGTGGAAGCAACCATTATGGACTCTGTCCCCAAATTCCTAAAGATCTGGAACCCCTGGTTGGAACACTTCCAAAAAACAATGTACACAGACAAAAAATGGATGAAAATGGATGTAAATGGATGAAGAACAGATGTAAACGGACAACAAACAATGTACACAGACACAAAATGGATGAAGAACAGCTGTAAACTGATGTAAACGGCCAAAAAACAATGTACACGGCCAAAAAACGGATGAAAATGGATGTCAATGGATGAAGAACAGATGTAAACTGATGTGCATTGTTTTTTGTCAGTTTACATCTGTTCTTCGTCCATTTACATCCATTTTCATCCGTTTTTGGTCCATGTGCATTGTTTTTTGTCAGTTTACACGGACCAAAAACGGATGAAAGTGGATGTAAATGGGTGAAGAACAGATCTAAACTGATGTAAACTGACAAAAAAACAATGCACATGGACCAAAAACGGATGAAAATGGATGTAAATGGATGAAAGCGGATGAAAAACAGATGTAAACTGATAAAAAAACTGATGTAAACAGATTTTTTTCTTGGAAAAAACGTGAATGAACTGATAAAAAAAAAAAGGAACGCCCGTGTTAAAGGTTCATAACTGATGAAAAACGAACACTCATGTATTTCTATGGACTAGCAGATGTAAACGGATGATCATCTGTTTACATCCGTTAACGTTCGCATCCATTAACATCCGTTTTTTTTAATGGAAGGTAACATCTGTTTTTTTAATGGAAGAAAACTATTTTTCTTCCATTAAAAAATGGAACAGACAAAGAACTGATGTAAACTGACAAAAAACAATGTACACAGACAAAAAACAGATGAAAATGGATGTAAATAGATGAAGAACAGATGTAAACTGATGTAAACGGACAAAAAAAAAATGTACACGGACAAAAAAACGGATGAAAATGGATGTAAATGGATGAAGAACAGATGTAAACTGATGTAAACGGACAAAAAACAATGTACACAGACAAAAAAAAAAAATGAAAATGGATGTAAATGGATGAAGAACAGATGTAAACTGATGTAAACTGACAAAAAACAATGCACATGGACCAAAAACGGATGAAATAGGATGTAAATGGATGAAGAACAGATGTAAACTGACAAAAAAAACAATGCACATGGACCAAAAACGGATGATGAAAATGGATGTAAATGGATGAAAACGGATGAAAAACAGATGTAAACTGATAAAAATTGATGTAAACATATAAATTTTTTCTTGGAAAAAACGTGACTGAACTGATAAAAAAAAACGGAACGCCCATGTTAAAAGGGGCCTAACGGATGAAAAACGAACACTCATGTATTTCTATGGACTAGCGGATGTAAACGGATGATCATCTGTTTACATCCGTTAATGTCCGCATCCATTAACATCTGTTTTTTTAATGGAAGGTAACACCTGTTTTTTTTAATGGAAGAAAACCGTATTTTTCTTCCATTAAAAAATGGAACAGACAGATAACTGATGTAAACTGACAAAAAAAAATGTACACGGACAAAAAAACGGATGAAAATGGATGTAAATGGATGAAGAACAGATGTAAACTGATGTAAATGGACAAAAAACAATGTACACGGACAAAAAATGGATGAAAATGGATGTAAATGGATGAAGAACAGATGTAAACTGATGTAAACTGACAAAAAAACAATGCACACGGACCAAAAAACGGATGAAAATGGATGTAAATGGATGAAAACGGATGAAAAACAGATGTAAACTCATGTAAACTGATAAAAAACTGATGTAAACAGATCAATTTTTTCTTGGAATATAAACGTGACTGAACTGATAAAAAAAAACGGAACGCCCGTGTTAAAGGGGCCTAACGGATGAAAAACGAACACTCATGTATTTCTATGGACTAGCAGATGTAAACGGATGATCATCTGTTTACATCAGTTAATGTCCGCATCCATTAACATCCGTTTTTTTTAATGGAAGAAAACCCTATTTTTCTTCCATTAAAAAATGGAACAGACAAATAACTACTTACAATGATGTAAACTGACAAAAAACAATGTACACGGACAAAAAACGGATGAAAATGGATGTAAATGGATGAAAAACAGATGTAAACTGACAAAAAAACAATGTACATGGACCAAAAATGGATGAAAATGGATGTAAACGGATGAAAAACAGATGTAAACGGATATAAACAGATGAAAAACTGATGTAAACTGGTAAATTTTTTCTTGGAAAAAACGTGACTGAAGTGATAAAAAAAACGGATTACCCGTGTTAAAGGGGCCTAACGGATGAAAAACGGACTAGCAGATGTAAACGGATGATCATCTGTTTACATCCATTAATGTTCTCATCCGTTAACACCCCTTTTTTTTTGAACAAAAGAAAACCACATTTTTCTTCCGTTAAAAAGAAAAATGGAACGGACACAAAAACGGATGTAAATGGATGAAAACTAATGTAAACTGACAAAACAGATATAAACAGATGAAAAACATTTTAAAAAGGATTAAAAACGGACAAAAAACGTATGTGAACGAATCAGTTTTTTGTCCATTTATATCAGTTTTCATCTGTTTACATCCTTTTGTCTATTTACATCCGTCTTGTCCATTTACATCTATTTACATCTGTTTCCATCCGTTTTTGTCCGTTTACATGCACTTTCATCAGTTTTTAAATCTGTTTTTTTTTATTTTTTTATCAATTTACATCCATGTTTCATTCTTTTTTCATCCGTTTTTGTCCATTTACATCTGTTTACATCCGTTTTCCCATCCAACTTTGTCAGTTTACATCCATTTTTGTCCATTTACATCTGTTATGATCTGTTTTCCAGCCGTTTTTGTCTGTTTACATCCACTTTCATCCATTTACATCTGTTTTTTCGTCCATTTTTCATCAGTTTACATCTGCTTTTCAATAATGTTTTATCAATTTACATCCATTTTTCATCCGTTTACATCTGTTTTTGTCCATTTACATCTGTTTACATCCGTTTTCCCATCCGCTTTTGTCCGTTTATATCAATTTTTTGTCCATTTACGTCTGTTTATATCCGTTTGTGTCCGTTTACTTCTGTTTTTGATCTGTATACATCCATTTTACGTCCCTTCTGCTTTTTTTTTTTACGAAACAAAAATAGTGTTTTCTTCCATTCAAAAAATGAATGTTAACGGATGCGGACATTAATAAACGTAAACAAATAATCATCCGTTTTAATCCGCTAGTCCATAGAAATACATGGGTGTCCTTTCTTATCAGACAGATGAAAAAACATACATACGGAACGCCCATGTGAAAGAGCTCAAAGGGTCCTTTCACATGGGTGTTTCGGTTTCATTCATCAGTTCCGTCATGTTTTTTCCAAGAAAAAATGGTTCAGCTCACATCAGTTTTTCAGCCATATTTCATCAGTTTACATCTGCTTTTCATTCGTTCTTCATGAGTTTACATCCATTTGTCATCCTTTTTTCAACCGTTTACATCTGTTTTTGTCCATTTACATCTGTTTACATCCATTTCCCATCCGTTTTTGTCCATTTACTTCCGTTTGTGTCCGTTTATATCTGTTTTTCATCCATTTACATCCATGTTTTTGCCCGTTTACATCTGTTTTTTGCACATTCCAGGTTTTTTTTTTTTTACGCAAGAAAAATAGGGTTTTCTTCCATTCAAAAAAACAGATGTTAAAGGATGTGGACATTAATGGATGTAAACAGATGATCATCCATTTACATCCGCTAGTCCATAGAAATACATGGGTATCCGTTTTTCATCCGCAAACGGACAGATGAAAAATGGATATACGGAACGCCCGTGTGAAAGGGGCCTAAAGGACAGTCTTCTAGGCATGCATATGGCTACTCAAAGCTACCACAAAGCTTCTAATTCACTCCCTGGTTATCTAACGCCTCGACTACTGCAGCTCCCTCCTCATTGGCTTACTTTTACATAGGCTATCCCCCCTCCAGCCCACTGGCTTCCAATCAGTGTCCTCCACCCCTCTCTGCCAATCCCATCACTGGCTTCCATTCAGTGTCCTCCACCCCTCTCTGCCAATCCCATCACTGCTGCCTTCCATTCAGTGTCCTCCATCCCTCTCTGCCAATCCCTACACTGGCCTCCATTCAGTGTCCTCCACCCCTCTCTGCCAATCCCTCCACTGGCTTCCATTCAGTGTCCTCCACCGCTCTCTGCCAATCCCATCACTGGCTTCCATTCAGTGTCCTCCATCCCTCTCTGCCAATCCCTCCGCTGGCTTCCATTCAGTGTCCTCCACCCCTCTCTGCCAATCCCATCACTGGCTTCCATTCAGTGTCCTCCACCCCTCTCTGCCAATCCCATCACTGCCTATTCCATTCAGTGTCCTTCCATCCCTCTCTGCCAATCCCTACACTGGCCTCCATTCAGTGTCCTCCACCCCTCTCTGCCAATCCCTCCGCTGGCTTCCATTCAGTGTCCTCCACCCCTCTCTGCCAATCCCTCCACTGGCCTCCATTCAGTGTCCTCCATCCCTCTCTGCCAATCCCTCCGTTGGCTTCCATTCAGTGTCCTCCATCCCTCTCTGCCAATCCCATCACTGGCTTCCATTCAGTGTCCTCCCACCCTCTCTGCCAATCCCTCCGTTGGCTTCCATTCAGTGTCCTCCATCCCTCCTCTCTGCCAATCTCTCCACTGGCTTCCATTCAGTGTCCTCCACACCTCTCTGCCAATCCCTCTACTGGCCTCAATTCAGTGTCCTCTATCCCCCTCTGCCAACACATCCACTGGCCTCCATTCAGTGTCCTCCACCCCTCCCTGCCAATCCCTTCACTGGCCTCCAATCCTCTCACACACATCCTTCAATGATTGTTCCTGGCAAAATCGAAACTAGGAGCACGCGACCCCAGAAACTGCTCTCCAGGGGAAGGGGGGAGAGATATGAATTGGATCACAAAAAATGCCACCAACGCTCATCCTTCTTGTCCTTCTCACTCATCCTTCATTGACTGTTTCTGGCAACATTAAAAAACTCAGAGCAACTTGACCCCAGAAACTGCTCTCCAAGGGAAGGGGGGAGAGATATGAATTGGATCACAAAAAATGTCACCAACACTCATCCTTCAATGATTGTTCCTGGCAAAATCGAAACTAGGAGCAACGCGACCCCAGAAACTGCTCTCCAGGGAAGGGGGGGGAGATATGAATTGGATCACAAAAAATGTCACCAACACACTCATCCTTCAATGATTGTTCCTGGCAACAATCGAAACTAGGAGCAACTTGACCCCAGAAACTGCTCTCCAAGGGAAGGGGGGAGAGATATGAATTGGATCACAAAAAAATGTCACCAACACTCATCCCTCTCACACATCCTTCAGTGATGTTCTGGCAATCAAAACTAGGAGCAACGCAACCCCAGAAACTGCTCTCAAGGGAAGGGGGGGGGGGGGGAGATATGAATTGGATCATAAAAAATGCCACCAACACACATCCTTCTCGTCCTTCTCACTCATCCTTCAATGACTGTTCCTGGCAAAATCGAAACTAGGAGCAACGTGACCCCAGAAACTGCTCTCCAAGGGAAGGGGGGAGAGATATGAATTGGATCAAAAAAAATGTCACCAACACTCATCATCCCTCTCACACATCCTTCAGTGATTGTTCCTGGCAACAATCGAAACTAGGAGCAACGTGACCCCAGAAACTGCTCTCCAAAGGGAGGGGGGAGAGATGAATATGAATTGGATCATAAAAAAATGCCACCAACACTCACCCTTCCTTCTCACTCATCCTTCAATGACTGTTCCTGGCAACATCAAAACTAGGAGCAACGTGACCCCAGAAACTGCACTCCAGGGGAAGGGGGGAGAGATATGAATTGGATCACAAAAAATGCCACCAACACTCACCCTTCTCATACATCCTTCAATAATTGTTTCTGGCAACATTGAAACTAGGAGCAATGTGACCCCAGAAAACTGCTCTCCAGGGGAAGGAGGGGAGGAGATTAGAGGGAGAGAAGGTAAAAGCAAAAACATAGTTACACAATATGCTAAGGTGTGTAATTTAGGTGGTGTCATCAGTAGGGTTTCCAGAGCCACCTAATCCCTGAGAACTGGCAATCAAATTCTCCATACAATGCTGGGAAAAAGAAAAGCAAGTACCTGACTGCTGCTACAATGGACAATACAAACTGAGCCAGCATTGCAATGCATTGCATGGTGGTCAATGAGTTTAACTTTCTTTGGCCTAAATGTGTGTTGTCCAATCACAATCACTCACGTGTAATCACGACATTGGTACAACCGAAGTTCACATTGGTGGGCACAGCACTTTTGTTTGAGAGAAGACACTGTGGGTCGAAGTGGCAATCATGATTTAAGTGGACAAGGATTCATGACATTTATGTACAAACTTAAAACTAAAATTTCCTTAGGATGTTTACAAGGATTCCAGGTTTCAGCAGGACATCTTCCTGGGTGTGTTGCTGCAAGAAAAAATCCAGTACACACAGCTTACAAACAATATCCATTCCAGTAAAACTAAAACAGCTAAATTCCTTAGGGTGTCTACATAATACAACCCAAAACACAGGCAGGGAAATGCAGGAACCGAAAGATATCTGCACTCCAGTACACACAGCTCACTCCCCCAGTATCCATGTCACCTGAGTGATATCCGCACTCCAGTACACACAGCTCACTCCCCAGTATCCATGTCACCAGTGATATCCGCACTCCAGTACACACAGCTCACTCCCCAGTATCCATGTCACCAGTGATATCCTCACACTCCAGTACACACAGCTCACTCCCCAGTATCCATGTCACCAGTGATATCCACACTCCAGTACACACAGCTCACTCCCCAGTATCCATGTCACCAGTGATATCCACACTCCAGTACACACAGCTCACTCCCCAGTATCCATGTCACCAGTGATATCCGCACTCCAGTACACACAGCTCACTCCCCAGTATCCATGTCACCAGTGATATCCACACTCCAGTACACACAGCTCACTCCCCAGTATCCATGTCACCAGTGATATCCGCACTCCAGTACACACAGCTCACTCCCCAGTATCCATGTCACCAGTGATATCCGCACTCCAGTACACACAGCTCACTCCCCAGTATCCATGTCACCAGTGATATCCGCACTCCAGTACACACAGCTCACTCCAGTGATATCCAGTACACACAGCTCACTCCCCAGTATCCATGTCACCAGTGATATCCACACTCCAGTACACACAGCTCACTCCCCAGTATCCATGTCACCAGTGATATCCGCACTCCAGTACACACAGCTCACTCCCCAGTATCCATGTCACCAGTGATATCCGCACATCCAGTACACACAGCTCACTCCCCAGTATCACACACTCACTCCACTCCAGTACACACAGCTCACTCCCCAGTATCCATGTCACCAGTGATATCCGCACTCCAGTACACACAGCTCACTCCCCAGTATCCATGTCACCAGTGATATCCGCACTCCAGTACACACAGCTCACTCCCCAGTATCCATGTCACCAGTGATATCCGCACTCCAGTACACACAGCTCACTCCCCAGTATCCATGTCACCAGTGATATCCGCACTCCAGTACACACAGCTCACACAGCTCCCCCCAGTATCCATGTCACCAGTGATATCCGCACACAGCTCACAGTACACACAGCTCACTCCCCAGTATCCATGTCACCAGTGATATCCGCACTCCAGTACACACAGCTCACTCCCCAGTATCCATGTCACCAGTGATATCCGCACTCCAGTACACACAGCTCACTCACTCCCCAGTATCCATGTCACCAGTGATATCCGCACTCCAGTACACACACAGCTCACTCCCCAGTATCCATGTCACCAGTGATATCTACACTCTCCAGTACACACAGCTCACTCACTCCCCAGTATCCATGTCACCAGTGATATCCACACTCCAGTACACACAGCTCACTCCCCAGTATCCATGTCACCAGTGATATCCGCACTCCAGTACACACAGCTCACTCCCCAGTATCCATGTCACCAGTGATATCCGCACTCCAGTACACACAGCAGCTCACTCCCCCAGTATCCATGTCACCAGTGATATCCGCACACTCCAGTACACACAGCTCACTCCCCAGTATCCATGTCACCAGTGATATCCACTCCAGTACACACAGCTCACTCCCCAGTATCCAGGACAATCTGCATCACAGTCGCAACTTGGTGCACTGTTATGTTCACAGTGTGGAGGAACTCTAATCGGGTATGCTGGGGATCCGGGACAGTTTCCTTCCTTGGGAGCTGAAACAACCAAAAATAAATTGATTTCTAGATTTGTCCATAAAGACAGTTTACTGGGATTATAAAAGGAAAATACTGCGCAGTAGTGTATGGCCTTGATCTATGAAGTGGTAGTAATGCTTTAGGCATGCTAAAGTGGCCTCTCATTCAGAATTATTTCATTTTAGCGTGTCTCAAAATCTTTAAAGCACACCTTGAGTGTTTTTTACATTACAATTGGTTTCTGTGTACAAATAGTCAATGAGTTTATCAGCAGCTCTCATGTGGATGCACTGAGCAGGCTTGATACTGAGTCATGGGGAGCAGAAAAGAACTGTCAAAAGACCTGTGTAATAAGGTACTGGAACTTTGTAAAGATGGAAAAGGATAGAATAAGATATCCAAAGCTTTGAATATGCCAGTCAGTGCTACTAAATCACTTAATAAGAAGTGGAAAATATGTGAATCTCATACCAAGCCAAGGTCAGGTAGACCAAAAAAGATTGCAGCCACAACTGCCAGAAGAATTGTTTTGGATTCAAAGAACACACCACAGGGAACCTCAGGAGAAATACAGGCTGCCCTGAATAAAGATGGTGTGGTTATTTCAAGGAGCACAATACAACGATACTTCAGCAAAGGTGAGCTGCATGGACGAGTTGCCAGAAAGAAGCTTTACTGTGCCAATGCCACAAAACACGTCTCAAAGCTTTTATCACACTGTATTCTGGAGTAACGAGACTAAAATAGAGCTTTATAGTAACAACCATAAGCACTATGTTGGGAGCAACAAGAATACCATCCCCACTGTGAAGCATGGTGGTGGCTCACTGATGTTTTGGGGGGTAAGATGAATGAAGCATGTTATCGAAAAATACTGGCAGACAATTTGCATTCTTCTGCACAAAAGCTGCTCATCTAAACAGAGGGCATTTAATTGGTTTACCTGTTTCAATGTTTTTTTTGTTTTCTGATTGGGCCATTCCGTTATTACCTACATTTACAGAATATGAATTCCATAGGAAATAAAAGAAATGGGTTTTGGTGACTCAGTCATGTTTTCTTTACAAATAGAACATTTTTTACCAATTTTCCAGGGGTATGCAAACTAGTGAGCTAAACTGTAAGCGTATAATAATAATAATAGTGTCTGGCTGTTGGGGGATTAGAGTGTAAGCTCCTCTGGTGCAGAAACTGAAGCAACTTGCTCAGTGTTCTCTGTACAGCACTAG